TTTTATGAATTTAGTGTGGCAATCAGAAAAAAAAAATAGGCGAATGAAACTGGTACATTTTGATGTCGGAGAGATAACTCATCAAACTTTACGAAAAATAAAAAGCGACAAAGTCCACAGAGCATTTTTAAACATTCATTAAAAACATTAACAAAATTTATCTACTTAAGAAATTAAAATAAATCGTATTATTTACAAATTCAAAAACGATGCTTTGATGTGCGGGTGGTGTAATGGATTATAGCTTGGCATTGTTAATTAGAGAGTTGAGTTCGAATTCCCGTTGGATTCATTATATTCACTTACTCGTAAATACCCTTGGTAAAGGCATGAATCCGCCTCTTCTCTACCAGATATGGGTTAATTAGTAAGACATATGACTATCTCATCTAAAAAAACAAAAAAAAAAATGACAATCTAAAAATATTTGATGGCTTTAAATAACCTATAAAGGGTTGATAACTCGTAGAAAACGAATGAATCAAATTATTCTATCACCACAACCATTATGATCTTTTTAAAAACCTTTGTGTATCCATAAATAACAAGAAATTTGCATACTTTAGAGAGAAAAAACATTTAGTTTAAAACCAATAGATTCATTAATATTATTATTAGTAATAGTAGTAGTACTACTATTACTTACTAAAGCTATTTATATATTAATACGTTTGTCACACTAGGTCGAGAGGCAAAGAGAGAGAGAGGGAGGTGTAGAGACACAAAAAGAGTGTGACACAGAGAGGGGTTGGAGTTGCGGGTTCATTTTATATAAAGACAGTTATTTGTAGTGAGGGGTTAAATCATCTTTCCTGACTTAATGATCTCTTGTCGACAAATTCGCTCCCGAACTGCAAGTGTTCTTTTTCTTTTCTTAAACCTTATCTTCGCGAATTTGTTAAAGACCGAGTAAAGTAACTCTGTAAATGCCATCATGGGTGATGGATCTCTATTGTAAACATTGACGTCATGTGAGATCATGTCCTCTTAGATGAAGGCAGTTATTTGTGGTGAGGAGTCAAATCAGGTTTCGTAACCTAATCATCTGTTCAGGATTTTAAGAGACACTTTCATTTTTCTTATAATTATCTGAGAATGGCTATGGGCTGAAACGTACAGACTTCTGCATTAAAAAAATAAAATAATATGGTCTTGCTACTTACCATTATTACTTTTATTATTACTATTGTTACTCCCACTATTACCATTATTACTATTACTACAAATATTATTATTATAATGTATATATTATATTGTATATGTTATATTATAATGTAAATATATTATAATATATATATATTATATATTGTATATGTTATAAAATATATATATTATATTGTATATGTTATAAAATATATATATATTATATATTGTATATGTTATAAAATATATATATATTATATATTGTATATGTTATAAAATATATATATATTATATATTGTATATGTTATAAAATATATATATTTATATTTGTATATGTTATAAAATATATATATATTATATATTGTATATGTTATAAAATATATATATATTATATATTGTATATGTTATAAAATATATATATTATATATTGTATATGTTAAAAATATATATATATTATATATTGTATATATAAAATATATATATATTATATATTGTATATGTTATAAAATATATATATATTATATATTGTATATGTTATAAAATATATATATATATTATATATTGTATATGTTATAAAATATATATATATTATATATTGTATATGTTATAAAATATATATATATATTATATATTGTATATGTTATAAAATATATATATATTATATATTGTATATGTTATAAAATATATATATATATATATTGTATATGTTATAAAATATATATATATTGTATATGTTATAAAATATATATATATTGTATATGTTATAAAATATATATATATTGTATATAAGTATAAAATATATATATATTGTATATGTTATAAAATATATATATATTGTATATGTTATAACATATATATATATTGTATATGTTATAATATATATATATATTGTATATGTTATAATATATATATATATTGTATATATGTTATAATATATATATATTATATATGTTATAAAAATATATATATTGTATATGTTATAAAATATATATATATGTATATATTATAAAATATATATATATTGTATATATTATAAAATATATATATATTGTATATATTATAAAATATATATATATTGTATATATTATAAAATATATATATATATTGTATATATTATAAAATATATATATATATTGTATATTATAAAATATATATATATATTGTATATATTATAAAATATATATATATATTGTATATATATAAAATATATATATATATTTGTATATATTATAAAATATATATATATATTGTATATATTATAAAATATATATATATATTGTATATATTATAAAATATATATATATATTGTATATATAAAAATATATATATATATTGTATATATTATAAAATATATATATATATATATTGTATATATTATAAAATATATATATATTGTATATATTATAAAATATATATATATATATTGTATATATTATAAAATATATATATATATTGTATATATTATAAAATATATATATATATATTGTATATATTATAAAATATATATATATATATTATATATTATAAAATATATATATATATATTGTATATATTATAAAATATATATATATTATATATTATAATATATATATATATATATATTGTATATATATAATATATATATATATATATATTGTATATATATATAATATATATATTGTATATAAATATATAATATATATATTGTATATATTATATAATATATATATTATATATTATATAATATATATATTGTATATATTATATAATATATATATTGTATATATTATAATATATATATATATATTATATATATTATATATATATATATATATATATATATATATATATATATTACTACTAATAATTACTATTATTATTAAAATTCAGTGAGAAGTCAGCAAATTGATGTTGGGTTACAATATACACCCAATCTGATCAAAGTATACTAGGTACATCTATCGCAGCCAAGTGGGTGCAATATGGTAAGTTTTTTTTTTCTTTTCATAACCTTGCAAGTGGGAGCCAATTAGAAATACCTTCTGGTTGGGTACCCCATTCCACTAGGTTAATTGCCCCTCATTTTGTCTTGAAAATAAAGATAATTGCCTCCAAGCTTCCTATAACAAATATTTTTTAATCGATTTTACCATAAGCAAGGCAATAAAGCTTCTTAGACGCAAGGGTTTACTGGTTGTGGAAGAACAGAAAATCTATTAGTGTGTAGAAAGAGAAAAGCGTAAACGAGGACAGTAGATAGCGATTGACATGGCATTTAAATTTTTGCGGATTAAAGTTGGCGAGAAAGCATGGAGCCGGAAGGGCGTTCCACGTGCGAAAAATAAACTGTTAGCATATAATTTACGGATACATCTAGCCAGCTCAACTGTAAATTAATGAGATCTTGATGTCAGTCTACTACTGCGCTTAAATTCATAATGTCTAGGTAACATAGCAAAGAGCGATATTTATTTGTAATTATTTACAAAATGTAGACAAGGCCGAAATGGAAATAGGGAAAAGGGCGGTCTTCATCTGTCTTAACTTTAAAATTAGCTAGTCACTAAAACTGGCCGAAACATACCACAATACTCCTAACACCATAACAATGCATTCTTACCTACCTTTCTTACTACATTCACCATAATACCTCATTGTCTCTATAAAAGTCTTAACTAGTCCCCATATGTACAACTCATTGTCTGTGAGTGGAGGGGAATAAAACAACATATAAGAACTCATCCGAGCAATGACCATGAAAGTATTTATAGAAAAGACACATGGAGGCAACTTTACGCTGGTTTAAATATGACAGAAGCCTAGCTACCAGATCAGGACCGACAATATTGCTGATTCTTCTTTGGATTTTATCAAGAAGCTAAATAGAAGGTAAATAACAGGAGTACTAGACCATATGTGACAGCAATATTGTAAGCATGGACGAATGGTAGACATATAGATATGCATGATAGATTCTAGAGAGAGAAAGTATATCGCACGACACAGCAAACGAACTTTCTTAGCAGCTGACCTAGCAATAGATTCAGTATATTCTTTCAACTTCCTTAAGGTTTTTGGCATTCATCCCCATACTATATCTAGAGGATGTTTCATCCATGTTCTTTACTAGACTGAGGAGTTCCTTTTCTTTGCCAGCTCGGACAAGTGATGTGGTTTCTGTTATTTGGTACAGTTTTTGTGATTCTGTAGTGCCAGTTCACAAGGTTTCCCTCACTCAAGGCTATTTTTAACCATTGATCTTAGAAAGCAGTTGTATATAGCTGACAGTTTAGATATTTCTCAACAGGTTTGGCACCATGCATATGAAAGTCTCAATCTGAAGAGGATATTTAAGAAAGGTGTCATAAAAGACAACAACAAAAAGATGGAGTAAAAATGGTAATAAGATAACGATGAAGACCGAGAAAATATTTCATCTAAAAGAATAAAATAAAAAATAATTCTGTTATTCATCATCAGTCCTATGATTGGGTGAAGTTATGGGGGTTGTTGGGAACCTGACCAGCTCCCAACACATATCTCCATTGTGTGTCTTGGGCAAAGTAGAGCCGGTGGAGACCATCCCTCTCTAGATCAATTCACAGATGATGTCCACCAACTTGAAGGCTTGCCTTGGTCATGGACACATGGCTGTTGATTTCATCAGGAGCAGAGAACCCCTCTGCTGAAAGCCTTTTCAAGGTCTTCATCATGAATTTGTCTTTTTTTTTTTTGGCATTCATTTCTATGCCATATCTGAAGGATGTTTCATCCATGTTCTTTACTAGACTGAGGAGTTCCTTTTCTTTGCCAGCTCGGACATCTAAGTTTTGTGATGTTGGGACCTCTGATAAACTGCTAAAGTCAAAGTAATCAATATGATTGGTGAAAATGACCATATGGTTTTTAATTGGGCAAAAGTTATCAAATGCACCTTTCATTATCTATCCATCCATCATGTCAACTGTAATCGGGAGCATCAACCAAATGATCCTTTCTTTACCTATATAGTATGTGCTACGCTAGAGTTACTTTCTCCTAGACCAGTTGACACCCAAGGCTATAGAACTCAGTCTGTCCTGCTATTTACCCATAGCTGAAGGGAGAAGAGGATTAATACCTTTCTCAATGGTAAGTGAATGTAATGAATCCAACTGAAATTCGAACTCGGCTCTCCGATTCCTCAATCCGATCTGCTAGCCATTACTCCACTGAAATACACCTTAATTTTTGTATAAAATGAAATAGCCTGATAATGCTTAATAAAAGGATAAATAAAATTACTAGACTATTTAAACGCAGTACTAGATTGCCAGCTGGGTCTCAACATTGAAATGACTATTTTTAACCGTCGAGAAAATGGCTGTATACGGCTGACAGTTAAGATATTTCTCAACAGGTTTGGGACCATGCATGACATCCATATAAAAGTCTCGATCTGATGAGGCTATTTAAGAAAGTTGTCATAATAGGCAACATCTATAAGATGGAGTAAAAACAGTAATAAGATAATTATATAGGAAATACTTCATCTAAAACAATAAAATAAAATACTTCTGTTATTCATCATCAGTCCTATGACCGGGTGTGGTTCTGGGAACCTTGCTAGTTCCCTACACATGTCTCCATTACGTGTCTTAGCCTACACCTACTCTACTTTGCCTATCTTTCTCTAGGTCAAACCACAGATGATGTCCACCAACTTGAAGGCTTTCCTAGGTCATGGACACATGGCCGTTGATTCCATCAGGAGCGGGAAAACCCTCTGTCCTGACCATTTAGCTGAAAGCCTTTTATCGTTCTTTATCATGAATTTGATTTTTGGCATCCATGTCACATCTGGAGGATGTCTCATCCATGTTCTTCATTAGACTGAGGAGTTCCTCTTCTTTGCTAGCCGCCCTGGGTATGACGATAAACTACATCCACGTCCTGGGTAAGACGATAAACTACGTCCAACAGAAAGGCCTCTGATCAGAAGGTTTTGAGGAGCGTGGAACCACCTCTTAATTTCTGGTGTTCCCAGGTACATTATTACCCTTGGTGGTGGCACCTGTTGGGGTGCCGCCTATGGGCGGGTGCTTAACTCGCAAACTGAGTTAAAAAAAACTATGAAAATGTAAAAATAGGTTTTAATACAAGAAATACTTGTAAAAATATTACTAGCAATACATTTTTGAAAAAAAAAATATTACCAGCTATACATTTTTGAAGAAAAAATATTACCAGAAATTAATTTTTGAAAAAAAAAGATATTATCAGCAATAAAATTATGTCGGCATTAAATAAACCATTGAGGCGTTGATATGCCGTAAAACAAACCAAACCAAATCTTCTTTGCCAGCTCGGCCATCAAAATTTTGTGCTGTTTGCGACCTCTGATAAACTGCTAAAGTAAAAGTAATCAACGTCCTTGGTGAAAAATGATTTATGGAAGTTTTTGATTGGCCATAAACATTAAATAGGTATTTGCCCACTGTCCCACGCAGCAAGGTGTGGCACAAGGTTTTATCGTGGAGTATCCGAGCCCGTAGGCTCGGGCAAAAATTCCCTGTAGACCTCGTAAAAACGGAGTCAATTTCCCAAGACGAGACTCTTCTCTTCGACATAGCCTCGCCTGGGGGATACCCTCTAAATATATCTTAATTTTTGCATAGGTGTTTGGCTTTTAAATAGCCTAATAATGCTTATTAAAAGTATATACGTACGTTATAACCAGTTAATACCTCATAAATAATGGTCTATTCCGTTTTGATCACGAGGAAAGACGGAAATAATATATTAGAGACATTGTCTGATTTCAGTGCGTAAAAGAAGATAGTGAAGGCGAAAACACTCATGCGTTTGACGTCTGTTTCAGTGAAATTTTATACAGGTAATAAATCCGTTGGTATATAATCCAAGTGGATCCTAGTAATATCCAATATTAAAACTGATCCACAAAAAGTGCTCAATGTATTTATTATAACAGAAGATATAAATTACACAACAAAATCAAAAATTACCTCACATGGGGTGGGGTATAGATCTTTCAACGAACGAGAAGTATGTTAATCTTATTCAACCCCGGTCGGTGTATAGATCGTGTTCGTGTGTGAATAAGAAATTTAGAATTTAACTTTGATATATATATATATATATATATATATAATATATATATATATATATATATAATATATATATATATATATATATATATATATATATATATATATATCATATACATGTGAATATCAAACACTTAAAATTTTAAGTGTTTGGCATTAATTAATTAATAGTTTTGCTCCGTCTTTTGACACAGAGATCCCTCTGGATCTATATACTCTTGGAAATTCCGTACGAATTACCATTTACTATTATATATACATGTATTTTTTTTCCAATAATATTTCTCGAATATTCAGGTGGTAGATGAAAATAAATATACTGTTTAATATATAAATGTAGAATTTACTTAAATGCAAGTATCCTCTAAAAATAACGTTTATTAATATATATATATATATATATATATATTTATTTATTTAAAATAAATTATAACATAAATGTTATAAAATCACTACAAAAATAGCCATTTTGTTTCAACACCCACTATGTCTTATCACGTGATGATGTTGAATGTAAAATAAATGGTTTTAATCAGATACTTGTGTGTATATATATATATATATATATATATATATATATATATATATATAATACACTAAAGTAAGTAAAAGTTAAAAAATGAGAACATTATTGAAATACAGTTTCTCTTTTTTTTTCTCTTCTGCTTTTAGAAATGCGCTATAAAATATATTTATATAGTTGTCACTGTTTTAATATATGTTCCCTGATCGGGTTTGTCGTGCTTAATAGATGTCTTAACGACCGAAATGGACTTATAGTCTAAAGATCGTACTGCGGCGAAAGATAAACGATGGTTGTGAGTTGCTGAGTCACTTCCAGTAACAAATAATTTGAATGAAGCCAAATCGATATAATATACAAAATTCTAACTTCTATTTCTACTGCATACAAAGAAAGGAATGTGTGTGTGGTGTAACGATAATCGGTGAGAAAAGTGGGCTTGGCGTGACGAGTTCAAATTACATTCATCTTGGTGCAAATATGCTTGGAAAATGATGAATCCATCTCTTCTTCCCAACCTCACCACCAGCTAGGGGCTTGTAGCAGGGTAGACAGTTAATAGGGTGCGATTGGAAAGACAGAATATTTTCAGTTGCCCCATTATAGTCATTAGTATATCCGTGATTGGCTCAGCACAACGGAAGGAAGAACTAGAATAGATGAAAGAAAGCAATGACACATATGCATTTTGCTCCAAGTGATTTTACATATGCCGTTGTGTCGTATAAGCAAAGTTTTTATATATATATATATATATATATATATATATATATATATATATATATATATATATATATATATATATATATATATATATATATATATATATATATATATATATATATATATGTGGCTGAAGTGGTTAGAACGTTGGCATTCTGTTCATGAGAACCGGGTTCGAATCTTACCCTGATCGATTTATCAAGAAGGAGACTTCCTGATGTTATCGTTCAGAAGGGTGGAGACGATCCCAGCTTGCCTGAAAACCATACCACAAGTTGACCCAAGCCTTGTGGGTGAAATTTGGTAGACAGAACACCTGGGGTCGTCGATAGCTGTACTAGCACGAAGTCACAAGTCATCGTGACCGAGGGTTTGATTGTGCTGGTGTTGTTCAGATTTTTGATCATTCTAGATAACACGCTCTCTCCCAGAAACTGTAACTATAGTCTGCTCAGCATAGTTGCAGTATAAACCACAGGTGGGCTCTGTGGGTTTTGAACAAACACAAATATGCCTGAGTGAGAGTCTGCAATAGGGATTGGCTAGTCGACCTAGTAGACGGGTATTCTCGAATACGAGTGGCCATATTATTATTATTATTAAGAAATAAATAAATACTTAAGGCTCTACTTTTTGTATTGAACACTGTTTTTAAATTAATGTTTTGAACGCGGAGATCTTACTGTTCGTTCTTCAACACTCTAAAATATATATATATATATATATATATATACACACACACACACACATATTTTTTTTACTAATGTTCACTCAAGAGCCACTCAGGGTAGAGGGTTACTGTATCGACTTATATTAGCGTAGGAAAGGACAAACGTTAGGAGTATATGTGGAAAAAAATAAGAAAAATAAATAAATAGTATAAATTTCAGAGTTTAGGCGGAGATGTTAGATGTATAGAGTCAAAAGACCAGGAAGGAGTGTGAACAGGACAATAAGCGAATTTATATACTCCTACTGGGGGAGGAGATAAAAAATTAAATAGTGAACAAAGTTTCAGAATTCGGGCACAGAAACCCAATCCTAAACAGAAAACAAGGTATAAGCCTTTATTCCTGTTCAATAGATCAGGGAGGAGTGTGAACAGGACGTTGTCACTATTACTCCCACGCAGAGAAATTATAAGACATACAAGTAAAACGTTATGTGGACTGCCGAAAATCGAGCTCTTAATTGCAATATTTTTCTGAAAGATGTTGGTCGATTTTGTTTAGTGGCACATCAAACTCTATGGTTTATTTAATGCTGAAATTTAAATGTTTTGAACGCAATTGTATGCCATCAACTATAGATGAAATGTATTGTTGGTCATTTTACTATAAATAGTTATTGTTGGTAATTATTGATAGAAAAATGTATTGCTGGTATTTTTACTATAAAAATGTATTTATATGCTTTTGTTTTTTGTTTTCTTTTTTTGTTTTCTTGGCGGGGGGGGTCACTATTTGCCCATAGTTGGGACCCTAACAGGTGCTACAACACCATCAGGGTGGACCTGGGAGAAATAGCAATTAAGAGGTGGTTCCACATTCCTCAAAAACTCCGATCAGAGGCCTTGCTGCTGGATGTAGTTTATCGTCATATCCAGGAATATTCTGAAAGGGTAATGGCTATGTTGATGGTGCCTGTTGTTAACTATTCTGACCATGCGGTTTCCTCCTCCTTCCTAACAGACTCTGTCACTCGTGTCTTGATTACCTTGTGTTCTACTGATCAACTGAGATTCGTCACTCAAATCACGATGACGTCACTAACGGAAAGGGAGATATTTGCCCTTTGTATGGTTACACGAGGTTTTCCAGCTTTAGTTGGCAACTAGTCTGATAGGACTGCACTACATTCAAAAATGGTTCTGATGTCAGGCTAGCAACTGAATCTCTGAAAAATTCTACCTCATACGGATACCACATTAGTAACACTTCGAGTGTTGATGCTGTGGCCAGAAAAAAAACAATCTGCAGGATTAGCGCACAACGTACAAAAAACCAAAAACGATTATGTCCCGATGTGCGCATGTCAGTTTTATAGGGTAATGGCAATGTTAGCCGTTGCTTTATAAGGAAACATTCGGTATTTATTGACCGAGCAGCCTGTGACACTGTTGGTTGAAATTTATAAAATCTTTCTATTAAGACAATTTTTCAAAAAATAGCTTTCTCGAGCCCAGTCACTGCTCTTTCCAGTATTGATGGCAGTTTCCGTCCTAACCCTTTGTTTGAAGTAGTGTGGAATGTCAGTATCTTGATTATATCATTATTTTCTCTTCGCGTTACATGTCCCGTCACCGTGGAGAAAGACAATTAAATACCATGTGTAGTATCTGTTCTTATATGTAAGGGCAATAGTAATATTAACTGTTTCCTTATAAGGAAACATTTGGAATTCCCAAACAATGGAGCCAATCCTAATTGGCTATCGGGACGAGATCAAGGTGTAGTACCACATAATCTTTAAGGGTATTGGTAATATTAACCGTTTCCTTTTAAGGAAACATTCAACATTCAACATTCATTGACTGAGCAGCTTTTTTCGGTTGCTAATTATAAAATCTTTCTCTTAAAACAATTTTTCAAGCAAATAGGTGTCTTAAGTCCAGTAGCTGTTACCACTATTTCAAGTATTGATTCTTTTCTAACCTTTTGTTTTTAGTGTAGAGCGTTAACGTCTTGATTAATAATTTTTATAGGTTTTATATTTCATTTTAGTTTTTTCCTCTTTCCCTCAACGCGTCCTGTGAGTGTTAAATTTTCAAAGCTCTCTTTCCTCGTTATGTGCCCTAGAACTGTCTCTTCCTGATTTTAAGTATAATTTTCTTTAAAACTATCTATTCTTTTATAGATGTCTCTTCTTCACCTGTGAAGAGATTGTCCAGCATTGGCTAACATGTAGGAGGACCGATATTTCTTAGTCCAGATTCTTTGCTTCTAATGAAAATGCTTCATTTTCTATGTTCAATGTTCCTCCGGGCGTGGGCGTTCATGGCTCTCCACAATTTCCTCTCTTGTATATCTCTTAGTTAAGTTTTTTTTTTTTGTTGATATCTCTCCTAATCCCTGTTCTTCCAACCATTTACAGAAGGTCATTAGGTACTTTAAACGCTGTTTTTCCCTTTTAATAATGTCCTTTGCGTGAAATGCAATTAACTGCCCTGAAAGGTCGAAAGAAGAAAGCCAAACTGAGTAGCAATAAATTTATTTACATACGACCATGCAAACAAATTATATTAACCCACACCTAATTTGTCCTGGGCATGACGATAAACTACATCCAACAGCAAGTCCTCTGAAGGTTTTGGGGAGCGTGGAGCCACCTCTTACCAAGTCCACCTTAACCCAGGGTGATAGTACCTGTTAGGGTTCCAACTATGGGTAAGTAATTGACCCCCCCTAAACTGGGGTCAAAATACTACGAAAATGTAAAAATAGGCTTTAATACCAGCAATACTTTTCTGTAACAAATTATTACTAGCAATGAATTTTTGAAGGAAAACAATACCAACAATATATTTTTTTAAAAAAAATTATTATAAGCGAATTTTTTGAAATTTTACCAGCAATAAGGGAAATATTACATTTTTGATTACCATTTTGCAATATATTTTTTTGAGAAAATTGTTTTTGATAATATATTACCAGATATATTTTGAGGAATATATTACCAGCAATACATTTTTGAGGAATATATTACCAGCAATACATTTTTGAGGAATATATTACCAGCAATACATTTTTGAGGAATATATTACCAGCAATACATTTTTGAGGAATATATTACCAGCAATACATTTTTGGAAAAATTATTACCAGCAATAAAAATCTTGCCGGCATTAAATAACCCACTGAGGTTGACATACCGTAAACCAAACCAAACCACACTTAATGTTTGGAAGAGTAAATTCATACTATTTTTGGATCTTTGAAATCCAGACGGTTCATTCTCTCCAAGAAGAACAGACCGTGTTCTTTCAAAGGACGGAATGAAAATATAATAAATGTTAAAAGTGGTTCTGCCAACTGAATTGATGCGGTGAAACGTTGAAGTAAAAGAGAAATGCGACTCGTATCAGAATCTTGCTCACTAGCGGCTGCTGTTGTGAATGTGAAGGAGACAAAAAGATTTGTCTATTTTCGTCTAACATTGAACTGAGAGAACATGTGTGCGCCCTTAATTCTGCACACCTACACATATGGAATTTAATAACACTGTAAATAGATATGATAAATACATACGTAAATATGAACAGGCTGAGATAGTTAAAAAAGGAAAGGAAAAAATAGATAATGAACAAACTGGGTCAGAGAGTGAGACAAGTAGGTCGTGCTTGCAAGTTGTTTCGTTGAGAGAAGAGGAGTGAACAAGCCAAACATATCGTTTGCCCCCAATAGTAATTGTATAAGAAAAGAGAATGGAAGGTTATAAAAGGTTGATAGTTATTCAACAATGTCTATAATATTTGTCTGTCACTTTTTCATACCACGCTATCTGAGTCTGTCCACATTTATCTGACTACTTATCAGTCTATACATCAGTCTGTCTGTTTTTTTTTGTCTCTGTCTGTCCTTGCGTCTGTCTGTTTTTCGTCTCTGCCTCTCTTTGCGTCCGTCTGTTTTCTGTCTCTGTCTTTGCGTCTGTCCGTTTTTCGTCTCTGTCTGTTTTTGCGTCTGTCCGTTGTTGTTTCTGTCTGTCTTTGCGTCCGTCCGTCCGTCTTTCGTCTCTGTCTGTCTTTGCGTCTGTCCGTCTTTCGTCTCTGTCTGTCTTTGCGTCTGTCCGTTTTTCGTCTCTGTCTGTCTTTGCGTCTGTCCGTTTTTCGTCTCTGTCTGTCTTTGCGTCTGTCCGTTTTTCGTCTCTGTCTGTCTTTGCGTCTGTCCGTTTTTCGTCTCTGTCTGTCTTTGCGTCCGTCCGTCTTTCGTCTCTGTCTGTCTTTGCGTCTGTCCGTTTTTCGTCTGTGTCTTTGTGTCCATCCGTTTTTCGTCTCTGTCTGTCTTTGCGTCCGTCCGTTTTTCGTCTCTGTCTGTCTTTGCGTCTGTCCGTTTTTCGTCTCTGTCTGTCTTTGCGTCCGTCCGTTTTTCGTCTCTGTCTGTCTTTGCGTCCGTCTGTTTTTCTTTGTCTCTCTGTATGGCCATCTTTGTGTCACTGCCTTTGCGTCTGTCGGTTTTTATCTCTGTCTTTGGGTGTCTGTCTTTGCGTCTGTCTGTCTTTAATTGTTTATCTGTATTTGCGTCTCTATCTACTTTCTCTGTTTTTCTCTCTCTCTCTTTCTACTCAACTGTCTTCACCACTTTTCGTTGTCAGTCTGTCTTTATGACCGTCCATCCGTCCTTGCATCAGAGTTCATATCTGTCAAATGAAATCATAGCATGTGGTGGTAACTCTAGAAAAGATTTTTTGTAGCTGGAAACCTGTTCCATCCAATCGCGCTATTTTGTTCCCTGTGCTTCTTGTAGTTTCACGGAAAGAAATATTAGGAACTACTTCCTGAGTGCACGGTGGGGGAACACACACACACAATGAAAATATACATATATGTACGCATATTCTTGTCTGTTCCCGGGAATGTTAAACTCGTTTAATAAATACTAATGTGTCTCTCTGTCTATCTCAGTTAATTCGTATCTATCTCATGGTTGGTTTGTAATACACACACACACACACACACACACATATATATATATATATATATATATATATATGGTTGCAAAGATATTTATAAGAGTGACTAAATGATGAATTTTAGCATCGTGTGACTTATTTGTGCGATTTCGACAGAGGAAGCTTGAATTAATTTTACTTCCTTGTAAAACGTAACATGTTTGGCAAAGATACCAAGTGACACGTAGGCAGGGAGTGGATTCATGCCTTTTCCATGGATGTTAGAACTAAACAAACTTTAGCTGCCTTAGCAGGAAAACGAACTCGCTCTGACATTCTCTTGCTCATCTCCAAAACAATATTAAGATTGGTCCGAGAAATGGAGTAGTTATCGGCATCCTTATATTTTAATGACCACTGTGTGTTCTTAGATCTATTTACATTCTCGTCTGTTTTTGTCAACATACTTAATTATTTTATAACCCCTCACGCAGAACTCTTCACTGCCAGTTTAAGAAAGACATTTGGGTCACTAACACGGAAAAAGAGAATATCTCATATCGAGAATATTTAACATCGAAAAACACAAAGGAAAAAAATTAATTGTTTTTAATAAATCTCCCCCTGATGATGGTCGCGAGACCAGAAACACGTGTAGCAAAAATTTGTAAAATACAGCATATTTTTCAAAAACTCCACATTACAACAAAAAAACCTTTGCGGTTTCTCTCATATATATATATATATATATATATATATATATATATTGATGCATGTTTCATTAAATAATATAGACAAGTTTTGTCTATTTATTTTAAGTTCCTTTCATATTGTCTGATAAGCTTATTTCACGAGCTGCGATGCGACTTTCGCTCCCGCGTCTCGTATACACGAGTTTGTCGTTGCTTTGAAATTTTTCATGCAACAAAAACAGACTATCATTATTGTTTTGTCCGTGTATTGTTCTATATATTGAAAGGTAATTGTCATCTTTGATAATGGCTTATGTAAACCGAAAGCTTAGATTGGATTAAAACATGTATCAATATGGTGATTTCTTTTCACCTTTCAGTGATAATATTTATTAAGCTTATCAGACAATATGAAAGGAACTTAAAATAAATAGACAGAACTTGTCTATAGTATTTAATGAAACATGCATTAATGAAAAATTGCTGCCTAAATACATATATATATATATATATATATATATATATATAAAAATATATAAATAAAAATAATGTTTTTATTAAAAGAAATTATTTTTTATTATATTTGATATTTATTTATTTTTTTATATTTGATTTTTCAGATAAAACATTATTTTTTATAATTGGCTTCTCATTTCTATATATATATATATATATATATATATATATATATATATATATATATATATATGTGTGTGTGTGAATTTAGGTAGAATATCTTCATTCAGGCATGTTTGGTTGAATAATCTAGACATACATCTATTTATTTTTATTTTAATCATCTCAAATTCACGGATCAAAACCCCGATTATACAAAATTTTTATTTTCACAAGTATTTTCAATGTCATCTGATAACGTCTTCAGGAATTATATATTCAAAATATTTTTTTACTTTTATACAAGGGAGGCAACTTATGTGATTTTTTTAAAATTGTTTTCGTTACTAACATTTAAGAACTTTGTGGCTATTCTCGGAGTTGACCTTATTTATTTTTAAAATATCTAAATATCTACACCATTTATTTTTGGCCGCAGTTCTCCTATAGAATATACGGTGTTAACGCATAACACATCCATAGATATGCAACCCCTCGAAGATAGTCTCAGATAAAATTGCAAGAAAATTTTGCAATTTTTTCTTAATCAATTTTCTACAGCCACCAAGAAATTAATTCGTGGATTTGAAAGGATTAAAACTAAAATAATACACATAATACATCTAAATTATTTAACGAAATATATATATATATATATATATATATGTGTGTGTGTGTGTGTGTGTGTATGCATGCATGCGCGTATATTTATTTACCTTACTATCTTCCAATATCTTTTATGTCGTCTTAGCTATTACACTAGTTTCGAAAGTGTATGAAGATTACAGGCAGATGTCCGTATTACAATTCCCCTGAACGTTTGGATATTTCTGTGTGTTTGTGTATATATATATATATATATATATATATATATATATATATATATATATATACGTGTGTGTGTGCGTCTATTAAGAAAGGGGATGGATTTATTTACTAGTATAAGAGATATTTTTTTGCTTAATCGTTATTTTTATTGGAAACTTGTACTTGAGTAGATTATTTATTGAACAGTATATCAGTCAGTTATGTGCCATGCATAATAAACGTTTAGGCGATCATGTATCTTTCGATACATAACTAACGAAGCAGATTTTTTCCCCGCAGATCCTTCTGCAGTAGACTAGTTGCCATCCAAACCCGGTCTGCTATTTACCCATAAAGAGAGAAGAGGATTCATACCTTTTCCCAAGGGTATTAGCGCGCAAGTGAATGTAATGAATTTGACTGAGTGATTCCTCAATCCGAGCCGCCATCCATTACTCCACCTTGCCTCTTGTGAGAGAGAAAAATATACTGACGTGTCAAAAAAAAAAAAAAAAAAAAAAAAAAAATTTTTAAAAATGTCCATACGCACGAAAGATACTGAAAAGTTATTTCTGCAAAGATTTTTTTTTTTAATTATATACATACATATGATTTTCCAAGCATAGCTCAGATGTAGCACAAGGCCGAAAGTAGGGGGCACCCAGTGAGGTTCCAACTCACTACTCAGTCGTAATTGTTCTAGTAAGACAAGCTTGCTAACCATTACACCTCCTCGAGGTACCCTCGCTTTACATATAAGCTTAATATACGCCTCCCAACAAACACATACACACACACGCACTTGGGCATATCTAAATATCTACAAGTGTAGATTGATATCCAACAACCGTCATCTTCTATAAGCATATTCATATTCTGAGGCACCTGATAGACTTTTGATTAATGGGGGGGCGCTTTTTTTTAATTTTACCTTTATTTACTTATTTATTTATTTTTTAGAAAAGGTTTCGCTCCCACTCCAAACTTATTCAGATCGCTCTGTGCATTAATTTGGGAGCATTCGACACTCACAGGACGTATTGAAGTCAATAGGGTGGATCAGGCAGAAATAGCAAGCCTAACGAGCTTGTGTACATTGATGATATAACAGGCACTGCTTTTTTTTACGGCTTATCAACACTTTGTGAGTTATTTAAATCCGAAATATATAACACTGATTTTTTTTTTTGATTTTTTTTTTTTTTTTTACTCATTTATTTTTGTTTAGTGAATATTGGATTAGCAATTTCTTGAGAATGATGATTTTTTATAGATACAAGTTCTACTATTTAACCTATAACTGGGGAAAGGAGATGTATTCGCACCATTCCCCAACATTATTTGATAGCGGCTCTCAGTGTCTTGGGTAAGACGATAAACTTCATGCAACAGCAAGGCCTCTGATCAGGTTTTGAGGAGCGTGGAACCACCTCTTCATTTGTGATATTCCCAGGTCCACCCGGACCCGGGGTGGTAACACCTGTTAGGGTCCCAGCTATAGGTAAATAGTTGACCCCCAAACTGGGGTCAAAACACTATGAAAGTGTAAAATAGGTTTTAATATCAGCAATACATTTTTGTAAAAGGTTATTACCGGCAATGAATTTTTTAAGAAAAAATTAGCTGCAATACATTAAAAAAAAAAATTACCAGAAATAAAAATTTTGTCGGCATTAAATAACCCATTCAGGTTGATATACCGTAAAAAAAAACAAAAAAAAAACCCATAGCGGCTCTCATTCCGAACGGCTATCCATTACGCCACCCGCACATTCGACAGAACCGACGGTAGAAGGGATAGTAAAAAGACAGCTCTTATTCAGAGCTACAAAGGATAGGAAGTTGTGGAGAGCCATGATCGCCCACGTCCCAGAGGGACACGACACATAGAAGCTTTCTGACCTTTTTTACTGACTCCCACATTTTAAGGTCACTTCTGTTTATTACATATGGAGAAAAATTCAACCACCTCTTCGATATTAAGATCACTCCCTTTTATTGAACATCTGAATAAATATATGCAATCTAAGACACCTGCGTCTGTACAGACTTATGCAAAGTTTTAAAATACAGAAATATAAACTACTTACCAATTTTTCTATCCACTCTGGTTCTATGCTGACAGCCAGACATCATAAATACTGTTCATTTCATATTAGTTTTTAAATGCCTCCATCTTTAATTGTAATTCTCAATAGAGACGTTGGTTTTTGTCGACCTGATGTGAAGTAAATGCTTTTCCTCTGAATTGTTAGTTTTAGTAATTAGACCATTATCATACTCATTTGAAAATTTAGGGTGTTCCGAAATTTATTTAGGCCTCCTACCAACCCCGCTTGAGTTGTATGTTTGTCGGCTTGAGTTGTCTCTTCCCGTGCACTCTAGGTCACGCCCACCTTCCTTACTCCCTAGCATTTGGTAATAATTAAACCAAAAAGAAAAAAAAAATGTTATCTTTTACAAACCGGCCACTTACTGTATCATTCTGCTGGACAACCACTACATCCGTTTTGTTATATTTTGACACGAAATTGATGAGGAGAAGGGAGAGAAAATACATCGTGATTACGTTAGGGGAAAGAGAGAGAGAGAGTAAAAAGATGAGAAACAGGAAGAAGGGTATAAAGTGAGAAAGAGGATAAGCAGAGAGTGAACGAAATAAAGAAGACACAGGGAAGTTTGGATATATAGAGAGAAATGAGAAGCAAAGAGAATCCAAAAAGAAAGGTGGGTGCGGATATAGAGAGAAGAGACGGGGTAGGTTTGATATTGAGAGAGAAATTATGAGGAACAAAATAGATACAAATAGAAAGGTAAACAGAAAGACAGGAGGATATAGAGGAAAGAAATGAGGTTTGTTGGATATTGAGAAAGAAACGATGAGAAAGAACAAGGATACAAAGAGAGGAAATCCGAAAGAGAGAAGGATATAGAAAAGAGACGGGGTAGGATGTATATTGAGAGAGAAATGATTTGGAACCAAAAGAATACAAAAAAAAATAAGCAGGAAGGAAAGAGTATATAGAGAGAAGAGAAGTGATTGGTTGGATAGAGGAATGAAGACAAATTGTTTGAGAGGTAAGTGATGAGAAATAAAAGGATACAGATAATAGAGAAAAGAGACTTCGTAGGTTGGATATCGAGAGAATGATTAGAAACAAAAAGGATACAAAGAGAGATGGATATAGTGAAAAGAGACTGGGCAGGTTGGATATCGAGAGAATAATGATTAGAAACACAAAGGATACAGAAAGAGAAGGAGGTAGACTGGGTAGCAATGAGAGAGATAAGAAATGCGATAGACAATAGATAAATGAGATATACGCAATGATATAGGGAATAGATAAGAAAAAGGAGAGATAAGCAATGAGATAGATAATAGATGAATGAGATATAAGCAATTATATAAGGAATAGATAATGGATAAGAAATTAGAGATGTGGGATGAGCAATGAAATAATAGATAAGAAATGAGAGAGATAAGCAATGAGATAGATAATAGATCGATAATAACTGAGTTGGAAATGATCAGCCATGTAATAGATAAGAAATAAGTTAGATATATAAGCAATTTGATAAACAGATTGTTAGAGATAGATAAGTAATGAGATAGAGACGCAATGTGTTAGATAGACATAGATAATAAATGTGTTAGATAAGCAATGAGGTAAATTAGGTAGAGATAGCAAGATATGAAATAAGATAGATAGAAAATGCCTCGGGTAGGCAGTGACATAGTTATAAATAAGGAAATGACATACATAGACAGATAAGAAATAACTTAGTCTTTTCTTATCCGAGACTGTGTAATCGATTAAACAAAATAATCGCCAAAATACATTTAATATGAAAGATTAAAAATCAACTAGTAAATATGTAGAAAGTTTTGCTAGAGAAACAAAGAAACCGAATATAAACACAAGCGTAACGCGTTTCATGAAATTAGAAACAATTAAGAAAATAGAATATGGCGTATTAACAATTAAGGGGAGAAGCTGTAGTTTCCACCATATTTGAAATGTGCCACAAGACTTGAGTACCTCTTAAAACCTGCGGCGTTGTAGTCGTATGAATAATTATTGTTTGGCCTGCTTGAAAAGGAGGGTTAGTTGCGTAATTTTACCGCTGGCGCCAGGGGTCAGGATCCGAGCCAAGATAAAGAAAGAAAACGACTGCAAAGAAGGAAACTGGAGATTTAAAAAAAAAAAGAAAAAAAAAAGAAAGCAAGAATGTTAAAAGCTGAAGGAGTTTTCAGAAGGAAAGCGTATAGGAGCTTGCCTTGTGGCTGAACTAGTTGCATCTATCAGTATTTATTTTTAGCGGGCACAATCTTGACAACATATGATACGCAGATGACAAACACAGATGTTGATGGCAAACACAAAGAAATCTAGAGGAACTCCTAGACGAGGTAATAAGGGAAAGCAAGAAGAAAGGATGGTTTGGTTTGTTTAGTTTTACTGTATATCAACCTCAATGGGTCATTTAATGCCGACAACTTTTTCTTTTCTTTTTTTTTTCCTGGTAATATTTTTGTTTTGTCAAAAATCTGTTTCTGTCAAAAATTTTTTTCCTCAAAAATGTATAGCTGGTAATAGTATTTTTCCAAAACGTATAGCTTGTAATATTTACGGTATATCAACCTCAATGGGTCATTTAATGCCGACAACTTTTTCTTTTTTTTTTTTTTTTTTTTTCTGGTAATATTTTTGTTTTGTCAAAAATCTTTGTCAATATTTTTTTTCCTTTAAAAAAAACGTATAGCTGGTAATATTATTTTTTCAAAAACCTATAGCCGGCAACACTTCTTTCAAAAACGTATTATCAGAGGCCTTGGTGTTGGACGTAGTTTAACGTCATACCCAGGATGCGGATGTAGTTTATCGTCCTACCCAGGACGCCAAGAAGAAAGGACTAATCACATATAGTGTATGATCGTTAGATAGAGAGACAGTGCAGGGTGTGAGCGATGGATTGGGGATATCAAAATCAAGCAACCAAAGAAATGTAATTGAGAATTGTTATAACAGACGATATAAAATGTGGCACAGAAATCCGAAGATACATTGAAATAGCGAAAGATGCCTTCCAAAAGTTAAGCAAAATATTACAGAATTATTCACTAAGCCAGATAACTGTAAATTTCTGTTTGAATTTCTGACTCATTATTTACACTATTGACATGCGTACTATTGTTCACATGTCTGATGAGGAGGACAATGGTCTACCCGTAAATAGTGTAAATAACTTCTATTCAAATTAAAGATACTTTTATTCAATATAAAAAGACAATTATCCATTGAATAAATTATTTTATTCAGTGTAAAGATACCTTTATTCAAAATCAAAGGTATACATTTTTTTAAGCATTTCACCCCAAGCAAAGTGGGAGTGCCACTATTACGCAAAGGGTTACAGAGAGTGAAAGTAAGAGAAAAGATTGTGTATAGTAAGAGGGGGATTGAGGAAAGGATAAAAAGAACGGTGATCGGAAGATATCAATTGACATTACATTTAAATTTTTGGAGATTATAATTATCAGGGAAGCAACTAAGAGGAAGGGAGTTCCACTGTCGGGAAGTACGAAAGAAGCTGTTGGAGTAGAAGAGGCGGTTATATTTAACTGTTTTGACAGTGAAAGGGTGGGATCGAGATGCCAACCTAGTAGCATGCTTAAATTCATGCAGTCGGGACACCAGTGAACATAGCTCGCCAGAGCAGTTGTTACGAAAATGTTTGTAGAAAAGATAGAGGGAAGCCTCATTACGTCTGTGAGAAAGTGACTGGAGTCGAAACACGAAGTCGGGAACGATCACATTGCATATTAGTTTTTGGAATTTGTCGAGAACCTTGAGATGAACGGTGGGGGCACCAGACCATATATGGCAACAGTATTCAACACTTATTCCAAATAATGACACTGTCATTCACTATTAAGAAGATAAGCATTTTAACCATGATTTCAGTATAAAAAAATGCAAGCTAATGTTCAACTACAATGACTTGCAAAGATAGTTTGCACTCATGTTAACAAGAGGAAACCATTTTTTTTTTTTTTACTTTGAAATTTGCATCTATAAAGACGAGAATTCAAAGTAATGGGGACTTTAATAAATCAAAAAACACTTTCGGTCGCATATTGCAAAACTATTAGAAGATATATTGGGAAGAGCAGTGGGGGATATGATATATAATCAAATACGGTAACTTTCCATCTACCCCGCTTTGTCTATCTATCTGTCTGTCTGTCTGTCTTTAGTTATGTTTGCCTGTCTCCAGTTATGTCTAAGTAAATAATCCCCCAAAACACATGTAGTGTTCTCGTGTATGTACGTGCATATCTATCTCTCTAATTATATTATATATATATATATATATATATATATATATATATATATATATATATATTATTTATTTAAATATGATTCCAACGCTACATAAGTTCTCATGTTTCAAAACAAGAGCCGAAAACTTCAATATAATTATTTGAATTAAATTAATTCAATTTAATTCAAATAATTATATTGAATTTTCGACTTTGTTTTGAAACATGAGAACTCTTATTATTGGAATCATATTTTTAAATAATTATATTTTTGAAACATGAGAACTCTTATGTAGCGTTGGAATCATATTTTTAAATAAATAATTATATTTATGCTCTACTTTGGTATCGAGCACTAATTTTTTTAAAAGAATAACAAAAATACTAAAAGAACATTGGATTATTTACCTAACGAGTTCTTTCCTATTTTCTATATATTTTACACACACACACATATATATATATATATATATATATATATATATATATATATATATATATATATATATATATATATCAGTCTGTTCATATCTACCTATCTTAGCCAGTTCATTATATATCTATCTATTTCAGTCTGTTCATTATCTATCTATCTATCTATCTATCTATCTATCTAACTAATCTGTTATTCGCTTCTATAAAGACGAGAATTCAAAGTAACGAGGCCATTAATGAATCGAAAAACACTTTCGGTCGCATATTGCAAAACTATTAGGAGATATATTAGGCAGCGGTGTACAAGCTGTGACATATAATCAAATACGGTAACTTTCCATCTATTCCGCTTTGTCTATTATCCATCTTACTTTTCCTATATGTCTATTCACTCTACATTTGTTCGGCTGTAAATTTGCTATTGTCTACTGACACTCTCACAAACTTTCTTTCGTCTCTCTTGTCTAATTTTTTCGGTATTCCGGTTTTCTTTGCATTTAAAATACTTACAGTAATAGCAAAATGTTTTTTGAATGATTTTAACACTGGAAATTGGCAGCCGCCTGACAAACTCTCGTTGAGTCATCTTCCCCTTCACTAAATTCGTCTTTGTTACAGCAGAAGTGTTTACTATGATTTCAAAGTTAAAAAAAAAATGCAAGCTAATTTTTTTAAAGGCAATTCACCCCAAGCAAGGTGTGAGTGCCACTAGCACGCAAGGAGTTACAAGAGGATTGAGAACAAGATTAAAGAGGTGTGTCTAGGTACAGAGAAGGACGAGGAACAAGCTTAGTGTCAGATGACGATTGACATTACACTTGAATATTTAAAGATTATAATCACCGGGGAAGCAAGTAAGGGGAAGGGAGTTTCACAGACGGGAAGTGCGTGAAAAGAAACTGTTTGAGTAGAACAGACGGTTGCATTTCACCGTTTTGACAGTGAAAGGGTGAGCCCAAGATGTCAGCCTGGTGGCTTGCTTAAATTCATGCAGTCCGGGAACCAGCGAAAGTAGCTCGTCGGAACAGTTGCCATGACACGTCTGTGGGATAGCGATTGTAGACTAGACGCCAGATCAGGACCTATCATCTTGCATATTCGTCTCTGGCTTTTGTCGATGACCTCGAGACGTATAGCAGGAGCACCGGACCATACACGACAGCAATATTCGATGCCAGGACGGAGGGTTGATTTATAGATTTGAAGGATGGACTCAGACGAGAAAACCTTTCTGGCACGACACCGAGAACCAATTTTCCTTGCGGCAGATGAAGCTATTGATTTAATGTATTTAACCACACTGACTTGACACGGCAGCTTATACTCATATTAAGAAAATAGAACCATTCCCACTTAGAAATTTGCACATTATCATGACTTTATCCACTCAGATTATTCATTGGCGCAATAGTTTTGCAATTCCTTTTTTCAGCATCAAGCTGCTTAAAACGGTACACGGCAGCTGTGTAAACGCAACGACTTATTTTCCAATACTCAAGCTTCCAGAGAGATTACCGATAAGAACAAACTGCTAAAGAATCTTAACTTCTTAATAAAATACAGTTGGATAATAATTTTATGTAGTTGGCGCAAAACATTTGCCCTCCTGTGTATTTGGTTGCCACAAATCTGGCAGAAGAATTCTTCATCTCATTTTGGCTGACCATTTCTAGAAACATGGCTGCTGCGTTCCAACCCCGGCGTTTTACAGATTTATCCACTAAGCCAGATATCTCTATTCATAGTAAAGACACTTTTTATTAAAGAATAGACCATTATCCATTGAATAGATTCTTTTATTCGATATAAAGAACACCTTTATTCAAAATAAAAGATAATTTTATTTAAATTTAAAGATGCTCTTATTCAAGGTAATTAAATCGTTATTCGCTTCTATAAAGACAAGAATTCAAAGTAACGAGGCTATTAATGAATCGAAAAACACTTTTGATTACAAACTGTTTGTACCCATCTGTAATGTAGTTAAATAAAAAAAATAGTTTCTTTTTTTATTGATACTAACATAGATATGTGATATTTGACCAAACATTTTACATAAAATTCTGTCATGCGAGAATAAAAACCAATTATATTCCTGGAAAAAATCCTTCAAACTCCAAGACAGCTTGTTCTTTTAATTGCTCTGTATTGCATGAAGCTTCATGATCAGCAGAAAATGTTGCTTTCAAAGAACTGAAGGTCTCTTCAATTTGGTTTAATGACATTGGGCGATAAAGTGGCAAAAATCTAA